TGCAGAATGATAAGTATATCAGCTTGGAGGGTTCAGGGTATCTCCTAGTCGAGCACGAAAAAGTATAAAATAATAAATTTTAAAAATAATTTAAAATAAAACAGATTTCCAAAGATGTAAAGTAATGAATAAAAGAGATTTATAAATAATTGTCTAAAATACTTGTTTTTTATGTTTACATATAATTTATCCACAATGCAGCGTCAGCGAAAATGGCCAAGGTTCTTTTTAAGTTTTTTAATATATATGCTCCATTTACTATTATTACCACCTCTTTAGAGAATAGTTAAATAATTTAAGTAGTAAAGGCTTTCAATTAAATTAGAAATGTATATGAAATCGTTTAAAAATTATCTTAATTTATTTTATTAATTATAATTAAAATTATTAAAATCGGTATTATTATATATATATATATTAATAATTATATAAATATAATTTATTCATTCAACTATTTTGGAATTTATAATTTTCAAGTTCAGTCTTAATTCCGTTGACAATCCTCCTCTTAGCACCCCCTCAAGCAATCCCATTGACATCAACTAACCTGCGGACTGGGACAACAGCATCAGCTCTAAGTAAACTTTAGGTCAGTGCCAAGAAAACATGAAGAGAACGTAGAATGAAGCGCGCATGAGCAGAACGTGCTCACAGTCTCGATTCTCTTTAGCGGCGAATTGAAAGCATTTTAATGAAATTTGCGTCGCGACTTTACATAAAAAGAGCTAATGACAATATAAATTCACATGGTATTCGGAAACTTTCTGCAGATGGGCAATAAGCGCTGAAGTTGACGATGCTCCCACTGTCAGCTCTGCGGCTACATCTGTGAACCTACATAAATATATATGTGGATATATGTATATGTATATCTATATATACTTGCTTTCAGTTGTATCTCTTGGGATAGCTGAGAACTGGGCAAATACAGCGGCGAATATCAGTAATTAGCGTAAATTGAGTTGGTAAAAAGCGCAAGTGCTTAAATTCCGACCCGATTTACAGCCGGCTGACACCCAACTTACCAACTTACTGTGTGCCACAATAGTCATTGCTTGTTGCGGTTGTCGCTCTGCTTTTGCTCTTCGCCGTGTTGTTGTTGTTGTTGCTGTTCATTATGTGGCAATTAGATGTCGCATTTGTGGCGAACCACGAGCCAGAACACATCCGATCAGAGTGTTCTCTCCTGACAGCAGGTGAAGCTGACTAAAAGCTTAGCGAGCTAATAAAACAAGTTGATTAATTTCGATGCTCCTTCTTGACCTTGACTGCCAGCCAGCTGGCTGTCAAGCCGCCAGGTTGCCACAGCCAAGCCAAGGATATTCGATTTCAATTTCCAACATTAGCTATAAGAATGTTCGCCTGAACTTTCATCCATGCATTATCGTGTGTGTCTCCGCCAGTGTCTCAATATAATGAACAGCATGTGGCACGTCTAAAAGGTATTAAACTTTTCAAAATACCTGCAACTAGATAGTTCGGATTTAAGTTTCGACATTTTTATATCGTACTCCGGAAGTTTTGCAAGTTGGCGAACCGAACAGCAGTTGATCTTAATGTGCAGACTTTCCCGAGAATAAATAGAAACTTTTCACTTGCAATTTCATTTACAATTTCGTGTATTGTTACAGGAGTGAGGAGATATTCTCTTTCCTTGGCATATTGAACCTCATTCTCACCGTATTATGATTTATGAATATACTTTTAGTTTCCTCAAATAAATTGGACATTGGAATCTCCCCCGAGTAACGCAATCAGTTTGAGCATGGAATTTAATTTTCCAAACGGGGTTTCAGGGCAGTGCGTTTTCCCGGGATTGAGCTGCTTTGTCTCTGTTACTGTGGCCTGGCCAGGAGTTGCAACTGGAAAACCGACGAAGTAATTCCAAATGCAAATGAATTCTGAAGAAATTTAGTTACTACAAATTTACGTATTTTTCGCTCTGACAGGCAACTGTGCAAATGAGTTTTTGGCACAGTGCGACCCCTTTCTCTTTTCAGCTCCGTTGACCAATTGAATTGGTTTAATTTGTTGCTGAAATGTTCGTGTGGCATAACTAAGCAACAATTGCATTACGCTACACAATGTAAAACTATCTAAAGCTAAGATTAAATTCGAGCACATCCTCAGATTGTTCTCACTTCCTGCCAGCTAATACCAGTCAACATAATCAAGCTACCAAATGGCAGCCCACTGCCAACAGCAACAGCAACAACAAAGGCAACGACTGCAACAGCAGCAACAGCAAAGCAGATGGCAGCAGCGACAGCAGATGGCAAAAAATGAAGTGCCAATGCGTGTCCTATATGCCAGTGGAGTAGATAAAAAGGCTGGCGGGCAGGGCATGGTGATGGGGTGGTAGGGTGGTGGGGCTTGATCTCGGCACTGATGAGTTCACTTCACTGAGCAAATGAAACGATATTGTTGTCAATTTAGGTGCAACAAAGAACAACAACGAACGTCAGCCCGGACAAAACAAACAGCATGTACGATGGCGACAAAGAATCCAAGAGCTTACTGTCGGCCCCTGGCAGAGGGCAAGCGTGGCGTTGGCCAGCAGCAAGGACTGCATGCGTTGACTGCATGGGGCGTATACCAGCAAAGGCAAACAACAACAAATTGCATGTCCTTCCGCCTTAGATGCAGCACACAAAATACGCACTCATATTTACTCTATCAGGTTTATAGACGCCTGCCGCGCTGTGACTGGGCGAGTGGCTGGCACCGCATTTGTGGCCCACCTGCAGCATTAATGAAAACCTTAAGTGACCTGCTACAGATACTCTTAGGTAAATTAGTTGTTTGAAATCAACTGAAATGCACCTGCAGCAACCAATTGACACAAACACCCACACAAGCACACATACAGACAGAAACTGCACAATTTTGGGGTTTCGCCACATGCACAACGCAGTAATCGTATATTTTCGGCTAAGCTAAGTGAGGGGGCGGAAATCGTCAAGGATATTGTGTCAAGTGTAAATTTATCTTATATCCATTAGCATATTAATATATTCCAGATAAGCATCAGAAACCGATTGAAAGAGGGAGAGAGAGAGAGAGAGAGAGATAAGTTTAACAAGATTGTCGGCGGCATCAACAAAATTCCATATTATTTCATATTACATGTAAATTCCAGATTTTGCAGTATGATAATTTCTAAATTCTGATTAGATGTGTGAACTTTCTTGAATCAATACTCACTAGTTTAATGATTTTTCGATTATAACGACATTTTTTATACCCAGAAAATAATCATATAAGATTGTCCGTACAGCCGTTAGTTGGAGTTGGAGTTCCAAATATCTTATATCTTCTGAGATCGACGCGCTCATACATACGGACGGACGGACGGACGGACGGACAGAAAGACGGACAGGGCCAAATCGACTCAGCTCGTCGCCCTGATCGAGAATATATATACTTTGTGGGGTCTGCCACGCCTCCTTCTGCCTGTTACGTACTTTTAACAAAACCATTATACCCTGATTTCCCTTTTTCAATGGGTTCAGGGTATAAAAAGAAAGCCAAATCTATATCGACTTATGGAGAAAAAGTTAGTATGAGTATTTACCTGTACTTACCTGTGCGCCATATCTCTTTGTCACCCCGATTACTTTAGCCTTAGGGCTCAAGAAACCGAAAACCAATATGCTCGCTTTGCTTTTGTGACTTGGTATTAAAATATCGCATCAATAGTTTTGCTTTTAAGAAACTTTTCTTCAAGTTTATTGGAGTGAAATCCGTAGTAAATTGAAATAAATAAATAAATTATGATGCAGTGGAAGCAAATAAATTAGATAAATAAATTACGCGTTACACTTAGGTTAGGTTAGACTAAATTAATCTGGCTGTGCAAAAGGAGGCAACTGTCCGTCCGCCTGGTCCTTAGAGTCTGACGACCTCAACGCCCTGCGGCGTGAAGAGGGACTCGGCTGCCAATTTGAGCTTCTCGTTGACCAATTTGGCGATTTTGGGTGTGCGGCGCCAGACGAATTCGCGGGTTCTGTCGTGATTGTCCTTGCTCTCCACCTCGACCTGCACATGGATAGGAAAGGGGGAATTGCAAATGGGAACAAAGAATGAAAGCTAATTGCTCAAAGCACAAAGGGGCGTTCGCGTTGACTGGCTCACCTGTTTGGGCTGCTGCACCTTGATTGACATCAGGGTGGCCCGATCATCCAGCACACTGAACTTAATGCGGCCGATCATCTCGTTGGTTCTGGCTGTTGCGCTCTTCACGTTGCGCACGCTGCCCCGCTTGAACGACTTCTCGACGCGCAGAGTCAATGGGCCCAGCGTGAATCTGGCCTTAATGGTCGAATTGCGTCCTTCCGCATCGCTGATCACCTTCACATTGCCCACACGTTTCAGCGATGCCAGGCCGGACAGACTGCCCTCCGCCTTTTGCAGCTTCTCCACTTCCGAGCCCGCTTTGCTGGCCCCCACGCCCGCCGGTTGATTGTAACTGCCGCTGCCCGCCTTCAGTCCCGTCTTCTTCGGGCTGTGCTTATGCGTCGTCTGCTGCCCAACCGAGGATTTCTTTGGGCTGACCTTGCTCGCCGCCTGCTCCCCATTGAACACTGTGCGCGTTTCCGCTTTGCCAGAGCCGGATGCCACGGCCTGTTGCGTCTGCTGCTCCTCCCCCGTTCGCTGCTCGCCGACTTTGAGGCCAAGCTCTGTCTGTAATTGCGTCAATTGCTGCTGCAATTTGACTGACTCCGTGCTACTGGCCATGCGCGGCTCCGATCTGGTATTCTTACTGCAAGTCAGATAGATTGACAAATTTGCATAATTTGACTTTGACTATGACGTTGGCGTTGACTTTGACTTTGACATTGCTGTCAGTTTAATTGGCTGTAAGCTGAATGTCATCTGCCAGAGTATGCAAAGAGCGAAACGCATCTTTCGCTATGAGACTGCATTGCTTTGAATCAAAAGATTTACAAACTCTTTTAGAGCTACATTACAGAATATATGCTACACGTTTCAGATTATACCTTTGATACTTTCATTTAAATGGATTCATATCAATTAACCCTTAACACTTTTTGTCATCTGACCATATTTACCGAGATAATCTATTTTTATCTAAACAATATCTTTACATATAACACATGTGTGTTTATTATGTATTCAATATATGGTCACTGAAAATCTCTTTTTAATTTAGCAATATTTTCATGTATGCATATTTATAATCTAATATTTCTATATAGTTCTTGCAATTTTTCACTTACAGTTTCTTGTGCGATGTTGTCTTGTGGCTTGTAGTTCCCTTGGTCTTCGTTGTGCTCTTCACAACAGTGTTTCCATACGTGGGCGTGGCCGTGGCCGAGCGCCCAGCCAGTCGGACAACGAATGGATCATAATTGTCGGCGACAATGCGGTTTATGCGAGAGAATATGGCATCAATGAAGTGATTATGGCGCGCTTGGAATGCATCCGTGGACATGTCAATCACGTTGTTTTTCAGATCACCTGCCCCGCACCATAGAAGATGTCACGTTAATAAGCTCTCACGGCACTCGCTAAAGGTTCATTTTGTGGCTTTGTGTGTTCGTTTCGGCATGAGGGAAAAGGTGTGGGTATTTGGGTGTTTGTGGTTAGCTTTGTAGTGCGTTAGTGAAGTGTGTTTTCAATTGCGGATGTGTCAACTAGTGTAGGCACGCATAGAGCCCATCACACACAGTGCAGCAGTGCAGCCCAGCAAGTGAGTGGGTGTCTGAGCGGGTAAATGGGGTGGGGAACAGGCATGGATTAAGTAATGTTGCAGGAAAAGCATTAAAGCAGTATACACATATAAGGAATACGGACTATAACACTGACATAAATTATACAATATATAATCATGCAATTGTTAGTATTTAAATATTCACAAGAGCTTATTCAAGCTCATTCGCTATTGACTAGTTTCAAGAATTAATCAAAGACAAACATTTCACATGCGCTATTTTTTTTGCTCTGTTTAAATCTAAATTCGGCTACAAAATGATTTTATGAAACTTTAGCACAATGACTACGACGTAGCTAATGAATTGAAATGTATTTATGATTTCACATAATCCATTCACTATTTATTGAAGAGCGTTTTCTTTTTTCTTCCATTGCTTTGCCAAACACATTCACTGGGCTACTTATCGTTAAATATTTTTAGCTACTTTGAGCTTATTTAGCATGCGAGTGTTAGTAAGATATCCCTCTCTTTCTCTTTCTCTCCTTCTCGTTGTCCAACTATTCGCTAATGCACAATTATAGAGTGCCCCTATTCAGGTGAAACGTTTAACATCTACTTTGTCCTTTAGGTGTGCCAATTAAAGCAAAGCAGAAGTTCATTGAGCCCGGTATACGTTTGACATATTTAAAATAGATGTAATAGTCGCTTTTTATAGAACACCCAGTACCCATATATACATATATATAAAGGAGAGTGCATTGGTGTGTGCCTGTGTGTGGGTGTGGTGTGCAAATATAATATTATGAGAGACAGGAGCCCAGCCACAAAGGGGATAAAAATTATTTACATGTGTCATTGTGTAATACATACTTAATTAAATGCATGACAGGGAGTCAGAGCTGATGCTGCTAATAATAAAAGTGAAGGAGAAAGAAATACAGACAGAGAGAGAGAGAGAGAGAGAGACAGAGTACGTGTGTGTGAGTGCGAGTAGAGAAAGTGGTGCAAACACCTTGACCATTATGCAAATCGTGACGCTTGAAAGTAATCGACGGACTCATTTTAAATAAAACACAAATTCGGATTTTTTTAGTTTTTTCAATTGATTTGTCAGAAAGTTGTACACAAATTTAATTAAAAATTTATTTAAGCAAATCTTTTGTGTCTGTGTGCGTGTGCAGCTTTGTTTTGTTTATGTTGTTTGTTTGTTTTTTGTTTTGTTTTTACAATATATAATAAATAAATAAATAAATAAATAATAAATTACAAATTTAATGAACCTAAACGCAAAGCTTAACAATTTGTGCAGTGAAAATGTTGATGGAAATGGCGTCACTTTTCATTTTGGGATAAGTCTGGCAAATCGTGCGCTGCCTTTCAAGCGTTCAACTTTTAGCTACAATTTACAGTTGGTTTAATTTCGTTTCGGTTTTGGTTGACTTTTTGTTTTCATGTTTTGTTTACTCTAATTACAATTTTACAATTTGCGTTATTTACGTTTACGGAAAGTTATGCGAGCCAGAAAGAAGCCAAAAACGAGAAAAGCCAGCGATTAATCTTTGATGTCAATTGTAAGCCAAATGTGTGAAAGCGTGAGTGAAAGGGAAAGTGAGCGACAGAGGCAGAGACAGAGATAGAGGGAGGATTACACATGTAGTAGAAAATTATATATAGAATAGCACTCTCGCATATATGGAAGATGCATTGATAATTTCTCCAACTGATTGTTGTTGTTTTTGTTGTGAACAGTAAAATTAATAACAAAGTCAATGTGAAGCAAGAAAAAACAAATTAAATTATTATCAATAAATTACACTATGTGAACAATTATTGTTGCTGTTGTAGTAGTAGTTCTTGTTGCTTTACATACATAAATTTAGCTATGTGTGTGTGTGGGAGGGGGCAGAGAGAGTGTGTAGGTGTGTGTGTGTGTGTGTGTGTGCGTGCCACGCGAATGGCAACAAAAATGCCTGCCAAAATGGCCGCTCGCCATTTAGCTCAGCCATTTTTGCCGCATTCCAACGCGCGGCGCACATTTTACTTTTATCTTTTGCATTTTTGTTTTTTGCTTTTCTTTCTTTTTCCATTGCTCATTTTGCTCTGAACATAATTTCAACAATTTGTGCTTCGGCATTAAACATTTTGTTGCTGTGCGGTTGGTTGTTTTTGCTGTTGCTGTTGTTGTTGTTGTGATCTTGGTGGTCATGTGAAACAGTCCGTGCGTAAATAACTTGGAATATAAACGAAACAAGTGTGTGGGTGTGTGAAAAAGTGAGAGGGTGGGGGTATAAATGTTGCATGTGCGTGCAGCTTAAAGTTTTGCATTTCTTTTGCTTTTGCTTTTGCTTTTGCTTTTGCTGTTGTTGTTTTTGTTGTGCTGTTCGCTGTCATTTTGCAGTTAGTTTGACTAGCACCAAACTCTCAATCAACTCATTTCGAGGATGTTGTATAAATATTCATTTACTTTAATATGCAAGTTTTTGCTTGTGTTTTTAGGTTTTAGTTTAGTTTTGTGTAAACTAGAGGTTTCTAAGACTCAGAAATAAATAAATAAATAAATTAGAAATAGGTTGTTGCATTGCAGTGATTGGATTGATTTGCTGTTTCGTTCTTGGGCATTAGGGATAGTCAGTGCAGGCAAAGAGTTATGCAATGTCCAGAAGATTTACATATGTGTGTGTCCTACCCAAAAAACGTTTGGCAGTGCCCTGCAACGTTGTTAGTCATTTCAATGTGGTCTGCTAGTCCCTGTCATTGGCAGTTCCTGTTTTGGCTGTCGTTCTTGTTGTTGTTGTTGTGTGTCGTTGTTTGTGGCAGTTGTTGATTTTGTTTGCGTTTTTAATGCTTCAGCTCTTTTTTGGACTTCTTGGCAACACTTGTTGACTTTTTGGCTTTGGCTGTTTTTGTTGCTGCTGTTGACTTGGACTCACGTGCTTCGCGTCTGGCCTCGATGACGTCGTCGCCAATAATATCATCATCGTCATCTTCATCATCGTCGTCGTCAGCCTCCTCGTCGTCACCTGTCAGCGCACCTGTAATTTCATCGACTCCATCATCAATATCATCATCACCACCATCATCATCATCATCATCATATTCATCGTCCTCGTCGTCGTCGTCGTCTTCGTCATCAGACGCTGCACCGGCGCCACTAATACCAGCAGCAGGCGCTGCGATCGGCCCCGCTGACACGCCCACAGCGCCCACCGCCGACTGCGCCGGAGCGGTGCTGACGACTAGATCGTTGTTGTTATTAATGTTGTTATTCTTAAGAGTGTTCTTTGTTGATGTGCTTGTGACTGTTGTTGTTGTAATATGCTGTTGTGATGATGCTTGATGTTGTGTCGCTTGTTGTTGTTGTTGTGGCAGTTGTTGTTGTACTTGTTGTTGTATTTGTATTATGTTTTGTTTTTGTTGGTCAATTGCATTTGTGCTACTTAAACTATTGGTGCTACCACTACTACCGTCTACAAGTGCATCTTCATCGTAAAAAACATTTAGTTCACCTTCGTTGTTGCTATTGCTCGTCTGTGTCTGGGCGGGCGCTGCAGCTGCGGCCACGTCCTCAACGGCGTTGCCAGCTGCAACGGGCTCGGCAGCGTTGCCACTCTCCGCGGGCAGGTCGACGCCGTCCGAGATGCCCGAGCTCAGCGAGCTGGCGGAGGCGGCGGGCGCAACTTCCTCGAGGGGCTGAGCGGGCGCGGCGGCCACGGGGCTCTGCTGCTGCGCACTGGCAGCGGGCACCACCTCGTCATCGTCGTCCTCGTCGTCATCATCTGTTAAAGAACGGGAAATGTGCTCAATTTGTGCTCACCAACGCCCGCCTCTTCAGCTTCGCGCCTTACCGCCCAAGATATCATCGAAGAGCCTATCTAGGTAGTCATCATCGTCGTCGTCCTCCTCGTCGTCATCGTCACTGGCGCCGGCTGCCGGGGCTGCCTGGCCCTGGGGCGTGTCGTCCTCTTCCTCATCATCGTCGTCCTCCTCGTCGTCGTCATCTGTAAACCCCGAAAGCAAAATAACTGTGTTACCCAAGGAAAGGAGAGCACAAGATATTCGTTAATAACATCACACAAATGGTCAGATATGGTAGTTGCGAGTGGTGGTTGATCGTTGAGTGCCACATGGTGGTTGCAATTGCCACTGCAGCTTTAGTGGTGCTGCTGCTGGTGCTGGTGGTGCATGGTGCTCGGGGTGCTCAGGTGCTTGCTTATAGATCAGTGAGTGAGTGTGTGTGTGTGTGTGAGGCGGATACCTACCATCATCATCATCAACCAAATCTCCCAGATCCGGCTCATCATCGTCGTCATCCTCATCATCGTCATCATCATCGTCGCTGGACGGCGCCGCGGCTGGAGCCACCTCGTTGTTGGCCGTCTGCTGACGGGACACCGCCCGCTCGCTCCTCGAATGCAGCTGCACCGGCGAGGCCTCAATCTGCAGCAGCAGCGCACTCAGTACGCACAGCAAAATCACGAATTTCATTATTGGTTCGTCTCTGCAACAGATGGAAATGCATAAGGAGAGGAGTTAAAAAGGCGGCCACGGCATTCGCACAGAACTTTTACTTTTGCGTTTAACCCAATTCGTTTGTGTTGTCTGAGTGCAACACTTTCTTTTCCATGACTTGTAAATTACATATTTATCGAACAAAGCCAACTCTGGCTGGCCACCGAGCTGCCCAGCTAGTCAATAAGACATCAAAGAAAGCAACCAAATAATTGCAGACACAGCATGAGTGTGTACATGAGTGTGTACATGTGTGTATACATGTCTGTGTACATGTGTGTATGTGTGTGTAAGTGCAAACATGTTTTTGAACTGTGCCTCAAAGTTGCCGCCGGGCTGTGTCCACATGTCCACTTTGTTGGCACTTGACACACAACAACAGCAGCAGCAGCAGCAGCAGCAACAGCAACAGCAACAGCAGCAGCAACTGAGGCTTCAACAGCAACAACAATGGTTTTTGGACAGCTGCAGGCGCCGTTTGACGCCACTGCCGTCGCCGCAGCTACCGCAGCCACCGCTGCGGCAGGTAAGACAGACAAGAGTGAGTGTATTGGAGCGGTACTGCGACTGGGCTGGCAAACGTGCAAAGTCGACTGTAATTGATCGAACTTGCCGAATTTCGCACTTGAAAAATAGAATCAAATTTCAACTTTGATGATGTAAAAAACTGAGCAGTTGTTATCAAAGCGAACCTAATTAAGTTTCCTGCTCGACTTTTATTTTTATCAGCTCTTTGCGAGTAAAGTTGTAAAGCTATTTGCAGGGTATTCACGTTATTTACGTGCCCATCCTCAACTTTCCATTCGCAACGGGTTTGTTGCTGTGGCTGTTGCTGTAGCTGCGATTGCTGTTGGCTCTTTAGCCATGACAATCAGCATGGCCAACAGCCAATGGCTATAACAAACAACCGCAACAATTGCCGTTGCTCTTGTTGCTGTTGTTATTGTCGCACTGTCAAGTGCGACTGCCCCAAGTGAAAGCAACGTCGCCAACGCAGACGCAGACGTCGACGTCGCTGTTGCTGTTGCTGTTGCTGTCGCTGCCTACGTCGACTGCCATGAACAAGTTTTTCTGCGGCGATTTGCTGTTGTGTTGTTGTCGCTGTGGCTTTTATTGTTGCTGGCTGCCTGTTCGGCCACTTATTGAAAAATGAGTAAAACGTTTTTAAAATCGAGTTCAGCTTAGCGCTGATAAGCAAACGTAGCTGGCCATAAAGCAAAGTGAAAACCCAGTGACCTACTGCCCGGCCCAGGCTAGAAGATCGGGCCAACCGAAGTCAAGTCGCCAACTTGGGGTATCTGGCTATGGCTATGGCTATGCCTGCAACTGTGGCTGTGGCTGTGGCTGTGGCTGTGGCTGTGGCTTTTCTTTAAGGGCTTCGCCAAGCCAAAGATAAAGATAGCCCAGATGATAAGCTCTCAGCGCAGTTTCATGGCGTCCAAGTAAGTCTCGCATCGTCACGACGCGACGCGACGCGAGGCGATGCGCTGCTTAATTAAAACTTTTACGATGCCGCGTTTTCTCGAGCAGCATTTATTAAAATCTGAAGCCCCAGGCAATGCAATGGCGAAAAGGAAGCGACATTTTGGGCGTGGCACTCCAGCGGAGATGACATATCACCTTCTCTTGGACCACGCCCCACATTTACAGTAGCTGCGGCTGCCAGGCAACGACAACCAACCAACGGAATGTGGCACACAAATAAATTTCTCTCCCGCATCCATTTGAGCTTGAGCTTGAGTCTTTGAAATTGAGTGGACAGAATCACAGCCGATTTAAGCTATATCTACTCGATTTAATAAAATTTCCCTAACGATTCTGCACTATAATTATCTTGTGTACATGGAATGTTGAGGAATTTCCTCATTCTCTTCCCATTGTACTTGTTGACGTCTCCTCAACTGCCAGCCACGACTGCATCAGCATCTTCGGCTGGGTACTTATAAACTCTGGCTATTGAAGTCTGCGAAATAGCATTTACTCTGTTCGTGCAGAGGTCTTCTCTTATGCTGCTCCTGTGCTCCCGTGCTCCCATGCTTCGATGCACCTTGAGCTGCTCAATGTTCTTCCATTTTCTCACCTAACTCCAAACATTTTACGCATCATGCTATAAGGCCAACAACAGGAAAGAACAAGAACAACAGCAACAGCAGCAGCAACACTGCAATGGGAAAACTTTTGACAAGCACAAGAGTGCGTGGCAGCCTCAGCACCACCCGCCCCACTTCCCACTTCTCACTGCTCCACCAATGGGAATGACAACCGGTTGGAGCTGTTGTTCTCTATTGTAGGCACTAACTCATATGGAACGTTGCTCCCACTATATTTTAATGTTCCATAGAAAAATGAAGCTAACCGTGTGTGCATTTTACATTAATATTCATGCGAGTGGGGGAGTGCCGGCATGTGGAGGCATTGAGTGGGGGAAGCACAACGAGAGTGTTTGCTGTGCACTTGCATGACAGCCAGCAAAATTACTTAAGCTCCTCACTCACACACTCACACACACACGCGCTCACAATGGAGATTATTGAGACCGATGGCAGGGCGCTTCGACTCCTGCTCCGTTCTACGCTACGTATGCATTGTCATATCAGCGTCATATCAATAAATATGTTGGCCGCACAAAAGGCTGCTCGGCGACGCCTAGAAAAGTGTCTCAGGATTTGCATATCAGTCTGTTGCCATCGCTATTCAGGAGCTCTCGAGTCTTTGTTGAAACTTGCCTCCTATGTGGGACGACTGGGCGACTGCTGCTGGTGCGGTTAATTTTCCAAGACAATGGCTGCAGCGGCAAAGTAGAAAAATAATCTTTACACGTGCCGCTTGAACTGCCTCGCCCCATGCTGCAGCACCTGCAGCCACAGCAGCATTTAGACAAGATTCTTCCTCTCTCTCTCCCTCTCTCTCTCTCTCTCTCTCTCTCTCTCTCTATTTCACACACTCAGATATTTTGCAATATTTTATATCCATCCCGCTCACATTGTGCATGCACAACGCATGAATTAGAGGCTGCTGCAGTAACACCAGCGCCACCTGGCGGAACAAAAACGCACATGCTGCATGACTGCCAAGGCTCCTTAACCAACTAATGGACGCGCTAGACGTACTTAGAGTTTTTCAGAATGCACACCCTGTGATGCGGAGGCTGATGCTGATTTTCAGGGTTCTCCTCGTATCAATTGATCTTTGATTAGCCTAAACTTATTTTATCTATAATTTTTCTTAGAGAAAACTTTTGTTTTTAGACGTAAGTGTATAATTTTTCCAAATCGAAAATTGAGTTTTTCACTAATAGTCCACAAGATTCAACAGTCACAAAGCATATTCTAATGTTTGCAAAAGCTTTGAGGCAGCATATACTTTTTTATTGCTTTGTATTGTAAACGAAAAAAAAAGCTGTCAAATTTTGGAGTATGTGATTTGTTCAGTGGTTTCACTCAAATTTCTTGGGAACGCCACAATGTCCGTGTCGAATATTTCTCTCTTAATAGCTTCTACTTGTCCTAAGTGCATGGCAGCTGTATTTGTTGCTGCTGCTGCTGCTGCCAGTGATGTGACTCTTTGGAACTACACTTGAGAATGTTTTGTTTTGGCAGCAAAGTGCAGAAGCTGTGCACACTAACGTAAACTATAACTGCGATGCCAGGAAACACTTAAATTAGCCACTGTCTGGAATGTGGGTCAGTTTGTAAGCAGAAACCTGAGAGGAGGCATGAGAGATTACTCAACAAGGCGGCTGCTGCTGCTCCTGCTGCTTCTGCTTCTGCTTCTGCTGCTGACCACAGAGCACACATGAAATGGCGCAGAGCTGGGCTGTATGGCTTGTATGTGGGGCAGAGCACACACATAAAAAAAAGCCGGCAATGGCTCTAAATTGCTGCGCTGATACAATTTATGCCCCAGCCAGTTAAGAGCCTGGGTCCGAGTTTGAGTCGGTTTTGGTTTTTGTAAGCTCTCGAAAATCAATTAAAAGTTCTTGCTCAAGACGCTGCCGGAGCGCTCTCTCTCTTTCTCATTCTCATTTTCTTTCTCTTTCTATTGGGCGTTTGTGAACTGTTTTATGGGTCAGCAGCAATGCGCTTGGCTGGTTTAATCGTTTTGCATGCCAATCGCTTGCTTGTCCTTATCATTCGAGAGTAACACACACACGATACGTTGTAACGATAGTCCTCGGGCTTAAACACAGTTAATCCAATGCTAACCTCGAGCTGCCCTTGGTTTTGATAATGTTGATCGATTGTTTGATGTTGTTCAGCTTTAGTTTCTTCACACACCATACATTAGTTGTCGAAATGTTTGTTTGGTTTAGAAGTTCGTGTTACGAAAACCGATTTGTGTTTGAGTGCAAGTGGCCGTTGCTCACTCCTCGAGTACCCGTCAAAGACTGTCGCTGTTTGAGCTTCTTTCGTATGGTTTTTAGCCTCATGCGATTCTGGACTGACTTTCTTTTTTCAACGTTTGCTTTTACCTGTTTCTCGCTGGGGGAGTTTTTGGTTTCTGATTGTGATTGTGGTTGTTGTTGTTGTTGTTGTCGAGCTTCGATGTTGGCAATTTTCACACCGCCGCGCACACAACTGTCTCGCACGACTGACCGTCTGCAACTGATCGAGGCTGGAATCTTCAGTTACCAGCATAGTTGTAGACGACACCGTGAAGACGCTTTACAGTTCCCCAACAATTTGTTTGCATTGCTTTCTTTGTGCTCTCTTTTCATGACATTCCTCTCTCGCTCTCTATCTCTCTCCCGTTCCCACTCGCACTCCCACTCTCTAGCACACTCATTCTATCTCGTTTTTTGCTGGCCAACTTGATTTTCAATCAATTTTGGACTTGCGCTCGCCGGCGTTCCTATGGGAAAGTATTTGGCACAGTAAACAACTCGTTATTACAGTTAGCAGCCAGGCAGGCTTGACTGAGAGAATTATCAGTCAAGATTGGGTAGTTTATTTTGCTGTAATGCTTCAATATTTTTCAATACTTTCTTGGCACTCCAATAAAGATTGTATGACATAATATTTAAATGCTATTTGACTTTTATATATTTGATATATTTGGTTTTCAGATTTTTGACTTTATAGCATTAACATATGAATGGAATTCTTGCGGACACTCCCTTGACCTACTTTGCGCATTCCTGTGGGTCAACTCTCTTGGCTTGGACCTTTTGAAGAGCGAAGAACGCTCGAGCATATCGCATGTGGCTATGTGCGACTTTTATTGATGAGTTTTTTTTCGCGCTGGGTCAATAAAAAGTGCTAATTTCTGTGCTCGACTGCCAAGCGCAAGCACATTAAAGTGAAATCGCCAGCCATTGAGCAGTTGACTTTAATATTGGCCGAAAAAAAAAAAAAAGAGTATGTAATAAAAAAATAACATTAAGAAAATTGTTACTCATAGCTTTGACAGCTTGTAATGTAATTAATTAAACTTGCATTTCATTTTCAATGTCCGGGATGGAGTGGAAAATGGTCCGGCCAAGGGGTGGGGATTCGAAAGGGGTTAAAAGCAAAGCTTTCCCATACACACACACACACACATACACATGCCGTATGCACACACTCACACATGGACGCTCTCACTAATATACGACAAGCGCGTCGCTGGCCGCGCAGTCGACGCGTACAACAGTAAAACGTGTTCTACTCGTTTATAGCGGTCTATTGCTGGAGTAGTTGTTGTTGTTGTTGTTATTGTTGCTGTAGTTTTTCTAGTTGGGCAAAAGTTGTTTTTACTGTAGACGAGAGCTTGGGCTGTCTATAACTTTCTTCGCAAGTTGTTGTCGCTGCTGTTGTTGTTGGCGATGTTATTGAGACAGCAGGCCAAGTATGTAAGCCTTTGCGAAGCATTTCAGTTAACAGGTCAGTGGAGTTTTCTCAACTTAAAAACTTAACTCGACTTGGCGACGTTTTCAGTCTTTTGCCGCAGAATGTTACGAAATTTTATGTAATGTGTCGAAAAACAGAAACAGAAATGGCAAACAACAAATATATCCAAGAGTATATAATAAAAAGGGCTGCGACCAACGTCAACAACTGGCTAAGAAAGACAACAAACTTTGACCAAGGCTACAGATTTTCGCTTGGCTAATTTCTGGCTATTCTGCCTAATGCTTAAGGGGCTGGTGCATTGCCTGAAACCTCATGTAATTCACCCCCCTTGTGGCTTAATACACTTTGACATTTGCGTTGGCAGCACCAGTCAGGTGGCAAGCCGAGAAAACGAGAAACAAACAACAATTAAACGTAACGCAGCCCGACTTCTGTGTGAAAGGGGCGAAGCAGTTCGCCTGTTGGCTTGTTGCCGGCCCAAAGAGCAGCCAAGATCAAACTTAGTTGCAGCTAATCAAAATGTAATTTGCCATTTGCTGGCTTTGTAAACATTTTCATAAGCAAATCAACGGGCGCACCAGGCAAGCTCGCGCTCCGCCTCGGCTCCAACTCGAAGACGTCGCAGCTCCATTTGACTAATTAATTTTCTCAACTTTCTTGCAGACGGAAAATGATGAAAATGCGGGTATCTGCGGCTGATTAGTTTTCGCAGCTAGCGAAAAACTTTTTTTGGCTAACATGTTAATTTTCGAGTTTGCTTGTGGATTTGCTCATTTCTCATTCGTCAAGAGGGAAATCCACTTGGATTTATTTTATTATTGCGTAGCTCTGACTAATCAAAAATTTGTTACACTTTGAGTTATGGAAGAGGGCCTTAACTTAGCGATAAAGCGGGTCAGAATAACTAGTTCCTATGTGTTTGGTCGCCAGAGAGTCTAAGATAGCCGAATATATTTTAATAGTGTCATACATTATATGAGCAATATAATTAAAATGATGATATCATAATATTTATGTTTATAAGAATATCTATATTGTAGTTACGTAAACGAAGTTACATTTTGATGCAAAGCCATGAGAATGCGAGATATTATATTAATGAGATTCAATATTTTAATCGAAATAATTAATAATAGAGAGCATACAAATTTCACAAACACATTTTCATACAAAATCATTGTACCACAACATTACTTTATATATTTCCGTAACTTCTAGTGTTATATAAATATTTTCTTTTAGCTTAAGCCTTGTTATTTCTAGCGCAATATAATTATTTTTATTAACACTATTTATTTTTATGGTATGTCAGCTCAGCTACTAGCACAAGCTACCTCCATTTCTGTCAAGCGGCAGTCGTCTAAATTAGTTATTCATATGGAAAAGAACTTATGCTTTATCTAATTTTTCCATAGTCTAATAATAATGTATATATAATCTATCTATCTGCCTGACAAAGGTCAACAGAGTTTTCGGCAATTAGAAACGCAATCTAAACTATCGATTTCGCTGCGCACTTAATTTTGGCCAGCCAGCTCGAATTATTTATATCCAGCTGACACTTCGTTCTCATAAGGCCAATATTAATTTGAGTGCCAGGCCATTGCAAACTTAATCGGCAGTTGCTGTGGCTGTGTGGCTGTGAATAGGCGTTTAGCGCTTGCGATATTCGTGGCTGCTTCGCTTAGGCAATCCAATTTGTTGACTCTCTTTTCCGGCTTCGTTAGCGAGCAGTCACACAATATTGACGTTGACAATTAAATGCTAGAAATTATTTGATTACCATCCGTTTTTCTAACCAAGCCACACGGCGGCAGCCCAACGTCTCGAAAAAGTTTCGCTTTTCTTTCGGCGCTGAGCAGCCACGAAAAGTGAAATAGAAATACCTTGCTAGGTTTTATCTCTCTGCACGTGTGTTGCTATTGCTTTTATTGCTGCTGCTGCTGTTGTTGTTGTTGTTGTTGTTGTTGTTGGCTTAGGTGAGATTATGCATGAAAGCGTGGCTTTGTGCCCAGAATAATTAGCAGGGCGTGTGCAGGGGGCGGGGGTCTTTACAATTGTCTGTAAAATAAGAGGCTAGCCACCTGCCATCGAGTGTGTGTGGCTGCCAACTAATCGATTTTCAAAGTGGTTTTGAGATAGCGACTATCTATCTGGTGGTGCCTGATTATATGCGAAATGCGTGCTAACAATTTCATTTGTTGAAAACTCAAATATGCCGTGGCAAGCCAGGCCACAGAAACTGTCGACGCGGATTTGTATTGAGACTCGGAATTGGGTTTAAGTTTGAGCTTGTTGTTGTTGTTGTTGGTGCTGGTGCTGAATTTCATTTGCACATTATATTCAATTTTTCATGCTATGCATTGAACCCAAGAGTTGGGGCAGTTGTTGTTGTTGTTTTTTTGATGAATTCATTCACGTACAATTCCCAACGATAACGACAACGGCAGAGGCAACGGGTACGACATCGGACGGCAATGCTGTTGACCGTTAAGCCAACTCCGAGTGCCAAGCTTCAAGTTTCCAGCTCTAAGTTCCAAGTACCTTCCTGTACTTTTGTGCTGCTCATTTCGCATTCAATGAGCGGCGCATCCATCGAACGAAAGCCGAGTCGGGGCAAGCAATTTCAATACGCACCGGCGAAAAATAATATAGAAAAAAAGAGAAAAAAACCAAATGGTAAATGAAAGTGCCCTCAAAATGTTTTCTAAATTTGTGCGCTTGGCCCGAAGTCTTTTGGGTTGGGCAACGGCTACTTGACCATGCCCATCTCTATATCTATATCTGGCCGATTTAATTGTGTCGCATTGCAATGAATATGCAGAGAGAACTCCGAGCTCCGAGCCGAAAACTCGTCTTTCGTCTTTCAATTAGCGAAAGTCTGCCACCAGAAGAAGCCTTCCATTGATATGCATATTAATCGTTCTACAAAAAGAAAAAGTTGTCAACGACGTCATTTAATTGATGCCCATTTTTAAGTTCGTAGCATCTTATGGCGGGGCAAATAACCAATAAGAAACATACCAAAAAATACAAAACATAATCAAAAATAAATTAAAATAAAAAATAGAATACCGAACAAAGCCTATCGAACAAAATAAGAAAAAAAGAGACGCCGGCCAGGTGGAAGTGGACGCATCACGAGCCACTCTCGAACAGGAAGGGAAAGCTATAGACGAACGTGTTACTTTGTAAGCAGCTGTATATGTGTATGTGTTTGTGTGTGCTTGTATTTGTAACTGAGTTTATGTGGGGCTTGCTTTGCAGCTTCAAAAAAAAAAAAAAAAAAAAAAAAAAAAAAAAAAAAAAAAAAAAAAAAGTAAAAGAAAAAATAAAAGCAAAAGTCTGATGTGGCCTCTACATGAGCATTACGGCAAGAAATTGACATTCTTGGCCTCCTCGCTCGCTCGCACGAGCACAGTGCAGGCAATTCGAATAAGTAAATACAACAAACACAGCAACTTAAATACCAAAAACTGGCTACAGGCACTTTCTCTTTCTTTCACTGCCGATAACGGCAACAACAACAACGCCAGCAACGACAACAGGTAACAACAACAACCAAAAGGGAAGCAGAAAATCAACGACTGGCATCCACAGCAAATACAATATAAATAGACCAATTGCTCTTATTACAATTGTTGTTGCTGCCTTCGGGCGATTTATAATTTAAGCATACATAAACGCCCATGCACACACACACACACACACACACACACTGATACATATATTTATTAGATTCTGGGAAGAAATTCACTTCAAGTCTTTTTGGTAATTGACACTGTGAAGGCAATGAAATGGAGGCGGGGCAAGGGCCGTGTGGGCGTCACAGCTGACTGCTGTGGGCGTGACTGCAGCATTAATAAAATACCATTTATGCTCATAAAACTGTCAAGCTGAAGTGTCGGCAACAAAACAAAATTATGATAGCAGCAGC